CGTGAAGAGGAGGATTGCGGTTGTGATTGAGAATGCCATGACTTGGATTGAGCTTGGCGTAGTTGCGAGAGGTGTCGATGAGGGTGTATATGGCGTGGATGTCGGGTAGTGTTCCGATCTCTGCCACTCTGGATGGGATCAAGACGTCCACGGGTGTGTAATAACGGTGAAGGAATCAAACGGAGGTAGTAGAAACGACGGAGCGAGGACGTAGAGTGCCTCTAGATGGCTGTGTTTGTTTCGCTGAAGATGCTGACAAAGAACAGATGAAGTGCCGTCCAGTATGACCTCGGGGTGTTCCAAGGTTTGGCAGTGAGTAAGTGAGTGAGTGAGTGAGTGAATGAGAGTGAAAGACCAGAACCCAAACAGTAGGCAACAGCACTTAAACAACAGACGCTTAGCCCCGTTCCAAAACAATTGACTCCACACAGACAGTGCCTTGCCATCATCCCTTCATCCTCTGTTGCCGTTATTTTGCGTGTGCACAGACCACGCCTTCGTACATTACCTCTTCCGACATAGCGCCCTTCCGCATCGGACGCTGGTTGGTCAACGGTGCGCAAGCGACCCACCCGACTTAGTCGTTTCCAAGGAGAAGACCCACTCTGCACGTGATTTTGCGAGCGGACCAATGAGAATGCACGAGGCTGATATGTGCGTGTCCTAAAATGGCATCCACGCATGGCTTGTGGCGTTGCAGGACCTGTGTACTGCTGACAGTGACCATGGAATATACGAGGATGACGCCCTGGAATTAGTGGACATGGATGCTGCAAATGTAACCGAAGTACTAGCTGCTACGTTTCTGCAGTCCATCGTCGTACTTGCCTACAATAAAGGACATAAAACTCAACCGAGTTTCTAACTTTTAACTCAGACTGGGACTTGGTAATGTTTCGCTCTGCTCCAAATACCCAATACTGTCAACGAGTGATAACTGCAGCACGGTTGGTGTCGACAAGTGTATCAAACGCGCTCGATCTTGGGACTGATTGTAGGCAAAGAAGTCTTACTAGATCTGAGACGAACATATTATTAGAAAAGAGAGTCCATTCTGATTATGAATTGGCGAGACAAGGGATAGAACCTACAACGAGGCAACGGCAAGCATACTTGCGCAATGCCATGGCAGTGTAATGCGAAGATCGAATCGATCTCGAATCGCATATCGCTACATAATCCGTGGCATGTAACTGTGCAAAAGCGAATGGATGAAAGCAGCCTTGAAAAAGTCATTTTATACTTACGCATTATGATGCCGTAGAAAAATGAATAAGCCCTAGAAGCCATGCAAGCCAATCTATAACCGCGACGGCTCCGCGCGTGTATAAATACGGAATGAACGTCGCCCTCCCAACGCCAAGACATGCATTCGTCAATCATACCATGCGACTCTCTACTGCGTCGCACATTGAGGACCCTCAGCCTCCTCGTCATCGTCTTCCCACTCAGCGCCACCTGCGCGTGGGTCTCCGCTGCCAGCACCGTAGTCCTCCATGTCGGCGTCCCATTCGACGTCGACCTCTTCCACCTCTTCGTGCTTTTCTTCGGGCTTGTCGTCCTTTGGTAGTGCGTCCCTGAGCTTCTGTACTGCCGCGTCGTTCTTCAGCCAGCCGTCCTCGGGGAATTCGACGTCGACTACTAGGTATAGATCGCCACGAGCGTCGCTGCGCTTGATAGGCATACCCTCGCCTTCAATCTTGAGGATTTGTCCTGGTCTCAGGACATTGCCGTCTGGTTGTTGTACATTGAGCTTAAGACCCCGTCCGTCGAGATGAGTGATGACTACGCGATTGAAGCCTGTGAGAGCCTCCACCAAGCTGACCTTCAACTCGGCCCTCAGATCTGCGCCTGCGCGCTCGAAGACGTCGTGTTGCGTCTCTGTAAGCGTGAAGATGATGTCGCCTGGCTCCTGGTCGGGTACTTGGTCTGCCTCTCCTGCAAGTACGATGCGTTCGCCTTGTCGCGCACCGCGGGGAATGTAAAGTTCGAGGACGTTCCTGGTCTCCACAACCTTCTTTCCCTTGCACTTCTTACAGCGATGCTTCTCGGGAATAACTTGGCCGGAACCTGAACAGTTGCCGCAAGGAACAGTCTCTTGGGTGACGAGCCCGGGGCCGACCTGGCGGAGGACTTGCTTGGCACCTGGGAGAGTTAGTATGTCTGGATGATGCGAGATGAAAGAGCGACGTACCGCGTCCGTTACAGACGGCACAAGAGTTGCTCTTGGCGCCCTGCTTTCCTCCGCTGCCCTTGCACATGTTGCAGATGATGTTCTTGGTGCTGGAGAACTTGGTCGTCTTGCCCTTGTACAGCTCCTCCAGGCTGACCTCGTACTCCTGCTCTACCGACCGTCCTTTCCGTGGCACGTTTCGTCCACCGGGCATGCCTCCCATGCCGCCCATTCCAGGCATTCCGCCAAATCCACCCATTCCGCCGAACATTTGCGCAAAGATGTCGTCGATGTCCGGGCCTTCGCCGCCCATACCGCCTCGGGACGGGTCGAAGGCAGCCATGCCGTGGGTGTCGTACATGTGTCGCTTGTCATCGTCGGAGAGGATCTCGTAGGCTTGTTTCGCGGCCTTGAAGCGGGTCTCGGCCTCTGCGCGGTCATCTTCTGCGACCTTGTCGGGGTGATGTGCTAGCGCAGCCTATCCAGGTCAGAATGGGTCGCCCTTGCGTTGTTGTTGCTTACGAACCTTGTGGTATGCCTTCTTGATCTCGATCTTGCTTGCGCCCTTTTCGATCTCGAGGACCTCTGTTCGCGTTAGTAATGTTTCCAATATGCAGACGAGCGTACGTACCGTAAAGGTCGATTTCTTCATCCACTGGAGGTGGCATCGTGTTAGTGAGAGTCGTGTCGTAGTAGACTAGAGGTACAAACTTTTGTGTTGTTGTTGGGTTGGGCGTGGGTAATTGGGAAGCAGACAAACTGGTCCAAAGTATGTACAAGAATAAAGCGAGATACAGCGACGTAAAGGGCCTCGTCCAGTGGGAGTGAAGGCAACAAAGTTTCTCCAGATTTGTCGATCGCAGGCAGGTAATGCGGGCCAAATTGTTAGCAGGCGGCGCCCCCACTAACGTCGAATCCCTGCACGTCATTTTCAACCGCGAACTCGAACCCTTTGCGTCGCATCAACACCGCCATGTCGTTTTCCTTCCTCCGCCCACGACTGTCACAGTACACGTGCCGGTCATGTCTACTTCGCCTTTCACGCGCCTCGCGACGTCCAATCTCTTCGAACACCTACCACATCAAAGAAAATAGTGCTAAAGCCGATGCAAAGGCCGCCGTACCAACATCTCCCGCACGGACGCGTTTCGCGCCTTCACCAACCGGCTACCTCCATCTTGGGTCACTCCGGACGGCGCTGTTCAATTACCTCCTCGCGAAACGGACAGGCGGCCAATTCCTACTCCGGATAGAAGATACAGACCAGAAACGCACAATACCCGACGCCGAGCAGCGACTGTTCGACGATCTACGATGGGCAGGACTGCAGTGGGATGAAGGGCCAGAGGTTGGAGGTCCGTATGGTCCGTATAAGCAGTCAGAGAGGAGCGCGATATACAGGGAATATGCGCACCAACTGCTAGAGTCAGGTCATGCATACCGCTGTTTCTGTTCCTCTGAGCGCTTGAACGCTTTGGCGGAACACAGACACAAGCTCGGCATCGCAACCGACTACGACCGCACATGCGCCCCGCCCGCAATATCCAAAGAAGAGAGTGACGAAAGAGCGCACAAAGGCGAGGCGCACACCATACGTCTCAAAGTCCCAGACCAGTACCCGACATACAAAGACCGCATCTATGGCACTTTCAGGCCCCTCAAGAGACGCGGCCATGTCACCGAATCCGCATACGAAGATCCAATTCTCCTCAAGTCCGATGGCCTCCCTACATACCACCTCGCCAACGTAGTAGACGACCACCTCATGAAGATCACGCACGTAATCCGAGGAAGCGAATGGATGCCCAGCACGCCAAAGCACATCGCCATGTACCAAGCCTTCGGGTGGACACCCCCAGAGTTCGCCCACGTCGGCCTCCTCGTCGACGAGAACGGCAACAAGCTCAGCAAGCGAAACTTCGACACCGACATCACCGCCTTCAAAGAGATGGAAATCTTCCCCGAGACCCTCACCAACTTCGCCGCGCTACTCGGATGGAGCCACAAGGAAAAGAGCGATGTCATGGACCTGAAAACACTAATTGATAACTTCAGCCTCAAATTCACAAAAGGCAACACGACCGTCACATTCGGCAAAATGCAATTCCTCCAACGCAAACACGCCCTGCAACGCGCCTCAGCCGGCGGCCCCGCCCTCGAAGAAATGGTCCGCAACGTCTCTAAACTGCTCACCTCCCCCGAATCGCCCTACCAAGATTGGAAGTCCATCATCGGAAGCCCCTTCCCCGAAGACTACATCCGATCCATCATAACCGCCGACGCAGAAAACTACACAAACGCAAACGAGTTCCTGTACCGCAACTCCTTCTTCTTCACGCCCCTACGACCATTTGATAAGCAGCCGCCCATGTCGACGACTTCCGATATACCCATGCGCGCGCAGATGCTAGCACGAATTGAAGAAAAAGACTGGGATAAGGAGAATTTGATGCAGAAGGTGCATGAGATGATTGATGGGAGGCCCGAGGGGAAGAAGGGGGCGAAGGATGTGTATCATTATCTGAGGAAGACGATTACGGGGCAGGAGCAGGGCATGCGGTTGTACGATATCTTTGTGATCCTGGGTAGGACGGAGACGCTGAAGAGACTGGGGCTGTTGGTCAATTAGAAGGGTGTGTAATTGCGAAAGTGTAACAATAGTGTACAAGAAACGAGGTCATGACTATACTTGTTAGTTCATTTTCCTGCATTGCTACGATGAACTCATTGACTTCAATTCGTGATATCATCCCACCCTGATCTATTCATTTACGCCCTTGAACGCCTTGCCATGCCATGCTTTCCACAGTTGACCACGTTGTCATGTCTAGGAAGTCTCCATCTCAACCTCCTGGCTCTTGACCTCCCCGCCATCCGCAAGACCAAACACCTTATCCTTGACCTTCGCCGCTAGCAGTCCCATGTCCTCTTCACGAGCAATCTTGCTTCCCGCCGCACCCAGCTTGGTCAACTGGTTCTTGCTTTCGTTGTTCGTCGCGTATCCCGCTCCACCCTTGAAGCGCTTGCTGGCGTTGTTCTCTTGCTGCATTTTGCGGGCGAGGTCGGAGATCTGCTTGGTGCCGTAGTCGCGGTTGGAGATAAGGGGCGATGATGAGAGTGTTTGCACCCAGTACTTGTTCCATAGCGCTTCTAGGAGCTTGGCGTCAAGCGAAGACTTGTAGTGCGACACTTCCAGGGAGTAGTAATGGTTTGCATGTGCACCAAAGTCCTCAATCTTGCCGAGCGGAATAGTCTCAAAGCCATCGCTCTCCGCGCCACTCACGTTCTTGGAGCCGCCACCCGCTTTCGCTTGGTTCTCGACGTACTCTGTGGAGTATGTGCGGAAGGCGCCGATTTCGACTTTGCCCGCGGAGACGGTTCGATCGGGGTCGATGACGATGGCGCAGAAGGGGTCTTGGAACATTTGCTGCGTCTTCTGTGTATTGACGTCGATGCCGGAGAGCCAGCAGCCGTAGCCGGGATGTGAGTGGTACCAGCCGACGGCGTTCTCCATCTGGCCTTGTTCTCGTGCGCGCTGCAGGAACTCTACCATGTACTCGTTTGCCTCGTCTTGTGCGTTGACTCGTGTCTCTGTTCCTTCGACTGGTAACCGGAATGCATCGGTGACGACAAATGTGTGTGCTTCAATCTTGCCTAGCATTAGGCCCATGACTTCGATTGAGCCGCCCGAGCGCGCGTGCATGACCATCTTGAGGAGGGCGATGGCCGAGATGCGGACGGAGGTGAAGTAGTTGGGGTCGGTTCGCCATGGGTGCGCGTCGTTGATTGCTTTCTGTGCGGAGGCTGAGTAGTTGTAGAGGGCGTCTTTGCTGGGGTCGACGAGCTTGACGGAGTTCTCGAGCTCTGGCATGTTTGTTAGCCATGCGACAGATGCGGGGTATATTGTTATAAAGATAGACACAGTACGAATGGAAGCGGATCGATCTTACCCCAGGTCTTCAATGCGGTCCCCATGGTTGAAGACAGCGTAGGCTTGTTTGGGTGAGTTTGGTGTTTTGGTGGGGAGGCGAGGTAGCTGTATGCTTGTTGCGGGGAGCTCTAGCGCCAAGAGATACAAGGCATCAGCGAGCAAGCGGGCAGTCTACAGGAAGGTGAGATGAAGTGAAAACAGTCTATTGCGCTAAACGCTGAGATCCATGTCGCATATGGCCACTGGATAGAACAAGTGTGACGCCAGGGTGCTCCATCATCGCTACTTCTTCCGCCGCGACTGATCTTCCCACCCCGACTTCTCATTCATCCTCCGCGCCTCATCCTCCATCTTCTTGACCCATCGCTTAGTCAACTCCTCATTCTCCTTGCGCAGTTTCTCCTTTTCCTGCTCCGCCATATTGAGTTGCAGGTTCAGCGCAACCATCTCATCGTGCACCTCCTCCACAAGTCTCCCCTTGCCCTTGAGCTCCTCGGCTCTATCCTTGCCCCGCCTTTCCAGTGCTGTTCGCGCCTTCTCAAGTTGTTCTATGCGCTGCTTCTGTTGTGTGTCCGAGGCTTTGAGGGCGCCGAGCTCGGCAGTAATACTACTCAGTTGCGTTTCGAGATCACCGCGCGTGCGCTGAGTGATGGCAAGTTCGGAGCGGAGTTGCGCGACAGCGGACGGAGAAGCTACATCGGTTGTCGCTGCGCCTTTGCCCTTTGACGGGATGGCTTTGGTAGATGCGCTGGCTGCGGGTGTGGGCTCCTCCGCGGAGGATGTCTGGGTTGACAACTGCGCGGTATTGTCGGCGAGCCTGGTATCTATGGACATCAGCATCTTCTCGTAGCACTGCGCGTCTCGCATAGGCAGATAACATACAGGCGTTGATGTACTGCTCATGCGCTTTCTCTCTCGCGTCACGCGCATCGAGTGCAGACAAATATTCCGCCAGAGAGTTACTCATGGCGGCAGGTAAAGTTGCGCGAGATCAAGGAATGTACAAGTCGTCTTTATCGCTATCATGGTGGTTTGCTACGTGAGCAGGCTGAAGATGGTCACCATGGACGATTGCGGAGGTCGTCACTGCTCCGATTCGACTCGACCCCTGCTAGCGTCGATCTCGGGAAGCTTCGGTCTTGAATATCGCATGTTGCAGCAACAAAGTCAAACTTCTCTCCCGTTCAATTGATTCTTACGACGCGCCGTCAATCGCTCAAGATGCCGCCAACACACATCTCCGGCACCTCACGAGCCCTCTACCGTGTCTTCATCGCTCCGAACCTACGCAACACAACTTCCATCCCACTTCTCTACGCCCCAGCATTTGCGCCGACATCGTCTCCCACCTCCCTCTCCTCGTCCACACCCAGTCTCACGAGCCGGACCTCCACCCGCGGCATAAAGTACACGAAGGACACACGCCGCCATGCCATCTCCGACTACTACGTCATCGACCAAGCCATCGAAGCCGACATCATCAACCTCGTAGACGAAGAGGGCGTTTTCCACAACAACGTCCCACTCGACGAGGCGCTGACGAGTTTCAACAAAGTCACACACCACCTCGTACAAATGACCCCAGGGAAATACGACGAGGATGGAAACCTAGACCCGAACAGCCTCCCAACATGCCGCGTCATCTCGAAAATCGATCTCCGCGCACAACACCAGAAGAAGCTCGAGACGCTCCGACGGCAAGCCAAGGGCCAGGGCACGGGACCTGCTACAAAGTCGTTAGAACTGAACTGGGCGATAGCAGCGGGCGATCTGAAGCACAGGCTGGTGGCCATGAAGAAGTTTCTGAAGGAGGGGCGCAAGGTCGAGGTTACGCTCGGGCCGAAGAAGCATGGAAGGAAGGCGACTGAGCAAGAAGCGAACGCGGTTTTCAAGGCAATTGAGAACGCGGTGGCGGATTGTAAGGGAGCTCGAGAGACTAAGAGGGAGGGTGAGGTTGGCGGAATCATGACCGTCATGTATGAAGGTAAGAAGGTGGAGAAGAAGGAGGGCGATGATGAGGCGGCTTGAGAGAACTTCGAGATGAGAAGGACAAGCAAACCTAGGGAAACCCTTGCCATGTGCTCCTGAGGCAAATGCCGAGCCGCGGATGATGGGAATGTGGGCTGAAGATGCAAGAGGGGGTGGTAAGGAAGAGCACGTGAGCATTTTCCGTGCCATGTAGTATACTGTACAACACAACCCACCTACACGTGGTGTAACGATTCATGAACATCTATAGATACACTGTACAGTAAACACGATGAAAAGCTTCATATCCTCTTCTCCTCCTTGACCGGCTCAGTCTTCGTCTCAACCTCAGTTGGAACATCAACCTCTGGAATCTCATCCTCAACAGCCTCGAGCTCCGCAGCCTCGGTATCTACCTCCGCCCTCTTAGCCTCGAGCACCTGCTCACACACCCTCATCTCTTCCCTTGCTTTCTTCTGGCCAGCAACATCGCGCTTAAGCGAAGCGACAGTGTTCTTTTGCCTGGCTACTTCAAGCTTAGCCTCCAAAATCAGCAGCTCAGCGTCCGAGACATAAGTTCTCTGGTCACTGGCTAGTTCAAGCTGCTCATCCGCGCTCGCTTCGTTACCGGCTAGACGCAAGGCTGCGGAGCGGTGCTCGTGGATCTGGGCCGCGAGCAGTGCGGCCTCGTACTCTACCTCATGTTTCTGCACTTCGAGTTCACGGACCTCGATCATGAGTTCTTCAGACTTTACGGGCGAGGTTTCCAGAGTCCCGCCGGGCCCGGCGAGGTCTTGTTTTGTGTTGATTTGGTAGGTCAACATCTGCAGACGAGGGAAGGATTCAGTGTTGGCGTCGTTGAGGTAGTCGGCGAAAGAGTGGCCGGTCCTTTCAGCGAATTGCAGTTCTTTGGCTTCGGCAAGGAGGTTGTAGGCGGACACGGTAAGCTCGTTGCGCTTGGGTCCTTGGGGGAGGGACTCGGCGTAGGCGTAGCGGGTTCCTGCTACGTTCTCGTAGATATCGGCGCGGATGGTATCCTTTTCCTTAGGGTCGGAAAGGGAGAGTTCACGGAATTCTTCCCAGCCGATGGTCGATTCGAGCTCTGTGGGTGGCGATGATCGGATGAGGCTCTTGTGCCAGGGCTGGAGAGCCTTGTGTGTGAGGTCTTCCTCGTGGGAGAGGAGTATGTTGTGCAGGGCGTCGCGCTCGATGATGACGCGGGACAGCTCGAGAAGGTTCTTGACGTCGATTTCTTCCCATGTGAGTGTTTGCTCGCCGCGATCCATCTCCGCTAATGCTTGCTCTAACATAGGTCGCTCTTCCAGTGTTACCATCAAGCTCCTGCCCCTGCCCAGCAATTTCTCGTGGTACTTTAGGGTGTCACCTAGTAACCTCACAGACGGGCTCTCAATCTCCATTGCGTTGTCCACAATGATCAGCTCGCCTTTTCGGAACCGGTATGACAGTGCCGTCCGCCATGCGAGGTCGTAGATCTTCTTGGGCAACTCAGTTGCGAAGTCGCGAGGCTTGGGACCAAATGCGACACCTCCACCCCTCAGCATGGGCGACTTCTTGTCTCCCAGGCGAGCGCGACCTGTTCCCTTTTGCGGTCTAACCTTCCTGCGGGAACCTCTGACTTCATACCTAGTCTTGGTAGAAGCCGTACCTAACCGTGTACTATCGCCCTCGTAAACGACCGCGCGGTGTAATATGTCTCGTCGGGTGGGTAGGTAGAGATGGTTTGCAGGGTATTGTTCGAATCGGAGCGGTTCGAGGGAGGGGAATCGGTGGATGGTCGCCAGCACAGACTGCTCTTCAAAAGGCTTGACGGGCACATATCCGGATTTCGGAGTGCTTATAGAAGCTAGTGTCGCCTGAGAGGGCGCAGATGTGGTGATTGAGCGGGTGGTGGGCGTGCATAGAGATTTCTTGACGACGTTAGCATGTCGCATACAGTGACGGCGAGGTAACGTACGGCACAGCGCGTGCATAGCGCATTTGGCCGCACCGAAAGCCTTCTCAATTGGTGTGTGGCGCCACGCATGGGCGCGGATATCCTCGTGGAAGCCATGCCGGTCGTCGTGGTTCAATTGTTCCAGTCGTCGGAGTTGGAGGCGGAGGTCTACGAAAAGCCGCTAGTGTGATCATCACCACATTTTCCAGCGGCACCATCGCTCTTGAACATCGTCGAGACCATCAACACCATGGCCTCCACGCCCACCCTGCGCCAATTCAGCGCGTGTCTGAGATGCGTGCGACAATTGCCAAGCGCCAATGGCACCCGCCGACTCCTCTCCACCTCGGCGGTCGCCCGTGAAGAGGTGCAGACACAACCCACGAATGCGACTCCCCCTCCACCGCCGTCGAACCCTCCGGAAGGCGCTGCTCAAAAGGCCGGCTCTCAAGATACCCCGGAATACATGCAAAAATGGGGCACGCTAGACCCCCAGATGGTGGAGAACAAGAAGCAGGAGCGCCGATTGCTGCGGAGAGAACATGTGCAACCCGTTGGATCCCGTCGTCGCCGTGCTGCCCTTCGTCGGTCGACCCTGCAAAAGACCGACGAGGTCCCATTCGAACAGCTACCGTACCAATGCTTCCAGGAGGCGAGGAAGGTCTTGTTGGAAGACAGGCAGGAGAAGATTAAGGAAATCAAGGTTCAGCAGGAGCGGATAAAGAACCTAATGGCGCAAGACGCAAGCATCAGTGGAGGCCCGGCAGCCAAGGAGCACAGACTGCGGAGCATGAGGAAGCACCTGAACGACCTGATTATTCTGGCCGACATCAACGACCCGGTTGTGAAGCGGAAGTTCGAGGACGGACAGAGTGCGTTATGCCAATATGCTCTCTGCCGACATGACTGACTTGCGAAGGTGACATGAACAAGCCCATCTACCGCTATCTTGCCGACAGGAAATGGCGCCAGTACAAGCGTCTCGTGCTCGAACAACGCGTTACGCAACTTGCCATAATTCCAGATCTGCTCCCGTCTCTCGACTTGGTTGCAGACATCGATCTTGGCTTTGGACGAAAGCCAGTTGCACCCGGTGACTTCGTAGACTCCGCCATCAGCGAAAAGATGCCTCGACTCAACGTTCAAACCTTCACACCTGGTGAGAAGCTCGTCACTGTGGTCGTAGTAGACGCAGACGTGCCAGTCCCAGAGAAAGACAGCTTCACCTACCGATGCCACTTGATCGCCTCCAACATCTCCATCTCGCCTAACAGCACCTCGATACCACTCCAGCGTATCGCCCAAGAGGACCAAAAGACAGAGGATCTCAGTGCCAAGAAGATCGCACTATCCTGGTTAGCACCATGGGCTCACAAAGGAGCGCCTTACCACCGCCTAGGTATCTTCGTCCTCGAGCAGCATGACAACCAGCCGCTTGACGTCACCAAGGTCAACAAGGCCAAGCGCATGGGATTCAACCTTCGTAGCTTTGCCGATTCGAACAAGTTGAGCGCAATCACTGCTACGCTGTTCAGGACGAAGTGGGACGAGAGCATGGAGGGTGTCATGGAGCGTAATGGTCTGAAGGATCAGATCGCTGTAGAGTTCAAGAGGAAGAGAGTGGAGCCACTGCCCTACAAGAGGCGCACTGAGCGCATGCGGTGAGGTGGATGAGGTTGCACGTAGTGAGTGCATGTAGTCATGTAAGCCATATGTACAATACGATGACCTGACAGCTGCAAGTCCAAGTTGTCAGCATGATATGTACAACAAGAGCATTGAATGCGACAATAAAGCGGTAGCATTGTTTACCAGCCCAGACTTTCCGCGTGGGATGTTGCGCAGTGGCTGCCTTTGATGGTGGCCGCTCTTTCCAACCTCACGTACGGGGATGCTTCCTTCCTTGCCTCACACACGCGCGCTTGGAGCTCGACCCTTCTTTCTTCTGCCGGACATGCCTTGCCTGTTTTTCTTGACAACCGCAGGAATCGCCATCAACACATCTCCAATTGTCGCTTCAACTACGCTTGTCTCCTTTACTCGCCCCAGGTGCCGCACTCACGCCCATCATGACGCAGAATGCACCTTCCGTTCCAAATTTTCTTCCGTCCCAACAGCAGATAGCGCTTGCCCTTGCGGTTGTTCGAAGTAAGCCAGCTGGGATGCAGGTACGAGGTGAGTTCTAACTTTCCGAATCATGCACGCCTTCTGACATGGCTAGACTATGTCCTGCAACTGCGTGCTCAGATCAGGCCCGGCCCAGACCCGAGGGAACGAGACGATTCCGACTGCTACATTGATCAGGTCGCCTACTGGAAGGAGCGATGCCAACAGGCTGAGGACGAATGCGACAAGCTTCGGGGCATCAATATCAAACTCGAACGATCAAATCACCTATTGTCGAGCCTCTCTAGGCCTGTCCCCAATACCGACCCGAGCATGCTTGAGGCGCCGACTGTATCGCCAAAGAGATCTAAGCCATCGAGACAAGCACAGAAACAATGCCTACAACCGGCCGCTGCTGCCCAAGAGACCATCGAGAATGATATGGACTTCTTGGATGTGCTGGGTAAGGACGGCTCGAATCTCACGGAAGCGTTGTATACTACACACTCGCTATGCAGGAGTGACGAGCCGAACACCGATACACTTTGCCACAATTTAGTGAAAATTGCTTCAAGTATCGGCAAGGTCATACGCATAGTCGCTCAGAACTACGAGCAACTGTCGCGTCGAGGGCGAAGGACACTGGAAGCCATGTCGTTGGACCAAGACAAATCCGATTTTGCCATCGCCCTATCCGTCTGCGCGAGAGCTTTCATGTCCTTACTTGTCGGTACCAACAAACTTATGGAGGCAAAAGCAGATGCACGCCTCGCGAGTTTGATCGTTTGCGAAGTGGCAGATATGTTCAACTCAGGATTGCAATCAATCGAGGCCTCAGCGCGAAGGACAGCGCAAACTTTCCTGTCGCAACCACTTTCGCCAAAGAAGACCAAAACCAAGACGCCACCTTCTATCATCAAGGAGTCGCCGCCGGCCAGGGCAGTCGCCCACTTGCTGATCAGTCTCCTTGGATTCCTTGAGAAGACCGATCCCGTGCATCAGAAGATCTTCGATGGCTTCGTTTTTGTTTTGTTCGAACGTGTTGGCAAGAGATTGTATTACTTCACATTTGGACAGCACCGTAGCACTTCCATCGAAGGCAACATCCTACCGCCATCTGAGACGAGAGATGAGACAGAAGAGATAACGCGAGATACCGATGCCCTTGGAACGCGCCTGGAAGTCAAAGCTCTTGTGTTGATACTTGAACGTGCCATGGGGCTAGCTCCAAACCATATGAATCCCCAAAATGCTCGCCCAAGCCAGTCCTCAAATCGCCCGGTCCGTACATTGAGCACCAAAACTCCCGTCACGAGTACCAGGGCGCGCCTAAGTCCGCTTGCAAAAGATCGCTTGCAACGAACACTCGTTGCATGTATGTATGGAAATAATACGAACGATGAGTTTCTGGACGTTCTCACGAAGCCGCTGCCAGGCATGCGGCTGAGCTCACTACAAAATGTGGCTAAAATCGACGACAAAGATGTGGAGACTTGGTATAAAGAGGAGATTTGGCGACTTGTTGGTTGGGATGTACTAGCCAGAGAGGGCTCGTGGTGAGACTATTGTAAGGAATGTGAGAAGTGCAATGAAGCTATGTAATTATCTACGATGGATTTCTGGAGATAACATCTGGCATGTCTAGTTACTGGCTTCCTGCGCCAATTGAAACTGGGTAACAAACCTCCGTTCCACCGCCGACTTCTGTGCAGTATGCACTTGATCCATCTCCTCCTCATCTCTCATTCCCCATCCACCCCCGCCAGGTGTATCAATAACAAAGCAATCCCCTTTCTGTACAGGAAAGTCCTTACGACCACCCAGCCTACACCATCGCCCACCAACCTTCTTAACAATATAATTCACCCCACTACTGCCATCCTCACCCCCAAACATACCATACGGTCTAGTAACCCGCCTCTCGCTAACAATCGAAGCATTCATATCGCGGTAAAACTCATACACGCGCCGAATCCCGTTCCCACCATTCCACCGCCCCTGTCCACCCGACCCATCACGTATACTGAACTCGCGAAGAAGCACAGGGTAACGCTTCTCCAGTAGTTCTGGATCCGTGATACGCGTATTCGTCATGTGGATGTGCACGCCGGAAGTCCCATGCCAGCCAGGCCCTGCACCGCTGCCTCCACATATCGTTTCTCCGAAGCCGAAACCGGAATTTGGGATGGGTGTGCCGTTGTCGTCGCGGTCGCCGTTTATACCGAAGGAGAAGACGTTGCAGTCACCTTGGCTTGCAGCACAGGCTTCGAATGCGCGGATGACGACGTCGGTGACGCGTTGGGATGTGATAGGGTTTCCTGCGCATACTGCGGCGTATGGCGAGGGGTTTAGGATACATCCTTCTGGGATCGTAAAAGTGAGAGGGCGGAGGCAGCCTTCGTTGAGCGGTATGTCTTGGTTGATGAGGCAGCGCAGAACGTAGAGTGTAGCGGATCTGGCGATGGCTTGTGGGGCGTTGAAGCTGTGGTATCCTTCTTCGCCTGTGCCAGTGAAATCGAAGTGGGCGGAGCCGTTGTCGGGGTTGATGGTTATGGCGAGCTTGATGGGTGTACCGTCGTCCATGAAATCGAGTGCGGCAAGTGGCTTGCCGCCAGTTTGTTGATATTTACGCTTCATGAATTCGCGTACACAAGACTCGGCGTTGGCAGTGATTGCATGCATGTTCAGGTGTACCGCAGACAGACCTCTTTCGGCGATGAGGTCAGCCACGAGCGCTGCGCCTTTCGCATTCGCGGAGACTTGTGCTTTGAGGTCGTTGATGTTATCGGCGAGCTTGCGTGTTCCTGAGCAACCTGGGTATTGCGCGGGATCGTGGAGTAACACCCTCGTGACTAGTTCTTCGTCGAAGACACCGTCACGGACAAGGTATTCTGAGACGATCATGGCACCCTCCTCGTGCAATTCGACGCTGCCGGCTGGCATTGAGCCCGGGAGTATTCCACCGATTTCTTGGTGATGGCCTCTTGAAGCTGTGTAGAAGATGATGGTCTTGCCTGCATCGTCAAAGACAGGCGTCACGCATGTTATGTCCGGAAGATGCGTACCGCCGGATATGGGATGGTTAGCGACGATGACGTCGCCTGGTCGTAGTTGGCCTAGGTACTTGTTGTGCTGGTACATAACTGCCTGCTCCATCGAGCCGAGGTGGACTGGTACATGAGGTGCATTGGCTACAAGACGACCTTCAGGACTGAAGAGCGCGCAGCTGAAGTCGAGACGTTCCTTGATGTTGACCGAAACACTCGTCTTCTGTAATGCGAGGCCCATCTGCTCAGCGATACTCATGAAGCGATGAGCCATCACAGAAAGCTCGACTGGATCAACAGTCCGCGGTACAACAACGTCGGTGTCTGGTAGGGTTGTTGTGCGGTCGAGTTCGATCATGACATGGCGGTCTAGGATAGTTGCCTTGGAGTTTGGTGCAACCACGATAGTCTGTGTGTTGTCCAGAATGATGGCAGGGCCATCGATGATATCACCCTTTGCCAATTTTGTCAAGTGATACAAAGGAGAGGTAGACCAGCCATTTTCGAAGAAGACAGGGACATGATCTGAAATCTTCTTTGTCGACACGGCGGATGGGGAGCAGTCGGTGAGCTGTTGATCAAGGTTGAACTCGGGTTCGACCGATGGGCTTCGGGCTGTCGCTCGAACTCGCACGTTCTCAACAAGGATATCGCGTCCGGGCATGATGAAGGAGAATTGGCGCTTGTGTTCAGCTACGAACGCGTCGTCCCACGTCCCTTGATCAGGACGCGAGACCATGAATGTTGTGTCAGATCCTTCGTAGCGGAGGTTAAGAAAATGCTCGAAACCGATTGTTTGGCCAGAGAACCCGTCGTTGGCCAGTTGTTCCGCCGCGTTCTTCTCGAGCGACGACAGCCTTTCGTCAAGTTCATCGAAAGAGGACTTCAACAATACTGAGCACGGCTCCTGAACATCGCGAACGACGTCTGCCAATGCCATGCCATATGCTGACAAGATAGAAGAGTAGCGGTGAATCAGAATGCGGTCGATGCCCAAGTTAGCAGCAATAGCGCAGGCAGCTTGTCCGCCTGCACCACCGAAGACCGCAAGATCGTGATCAGAGGTTCGGTGCCCCTTGGCTTCAGTGAGAGAGCGTATGGGCCGACACATTGTCTCATTCGCAACTTCCAAAAAGCCAAGAGCAAGCTCTTCGACAGTCTTCGTCTTTCCGCTAGTCTGTGACAGGTCCGCGTTGACCGTAACAAGTAACTCTTCAAAGGCTCGCTTTGCGCCTTCATAGTCCAGAGGTTCATTCTCGTGCTTGCCGAAGATCTTTGGAAAGTACTCAGCCTGCAAACGTCCCAAGACAAGATTTGCATCTGTAACCGTCAGAGGTCCACCTTTTCGGTATGCTGCAGGGCCTGGATGGGCGCTTGCTGATTCGGGGCCTGCGAGGAAGAGACCGTTGCGATAGGAAAGTATGCTTCCACCGCCTAGAAACTTTAGTAACTAGCCAGATCCATTGATTCGAGTGCTACTCACCGGCAGCAACAGTGTCGATCTCTAGCTGTGGAGATTGAATCGTCACACCAGCCGTGATCGACTCAAAGGTGTGCTCCAGTGTTCCCGCATACCGCGAAACATCAGTGCTGGTTCCGCCCACTGCGTAATTGTCAGCATACTTCCGACATGTTTCGCGAGCTTTAGACTTACTGTCGAATCCTATCACTGGCTTCCTCCGCTGTACATCAAAACATGTCTTGCTGAATCCGACAACACCTCCAGCCGGACCTGACAGGATAGCTTTGAGACCGCTGAAGTGCTGCCACCCCACTAGTCCTCCATCACTTTGCATGAACTCGCAACGAGCACCCTTGGTATCTTCCAGGCCGCCTACGAAGCCTTCACGAAAGCCGTCGATGTAATTGCGCGTCAAAGGCGTAAGGTACGCGTCTGCTGTTGCTGAGTAGCCTCTCGAGATGGCTCTGATCATGGGGAAGATCTGGGATGAGACTGATATCTGCTTGAAGCCGATGTCTCTGGCGATATCGGCAACTTGAAGCTCGTGGTTCGGGAAAGTATAGCTGTTGATCAGCGTTATCGCCAAGGACCGCACGCCCTTGTCGAACAGGGCCTGGAGACCTTCGCGGGCGTGTGTGCTGTCTACTAAAGTGTCAGCGAGGAAATTACTTCCACGTCAAGATACTGACCAATTGGTCGCAGAACGCGAATGGCTTCGCCACCGACCCCCCTTTCCAGGTTATATGAGTCGCGGCCGGGGTCTCGTAGTGTTGACTTGTCCTCGGTCGAATCGTGAAGCGTGACGCGCTCGTCAATCTCTAGAACATCGTCGAACAAGGTCTCAGGCCTCCGGATGTTGAGATCAAACAGCTTCGGTCTGGTCTGATCACCTATGCGTAGTAGATCTCTGAAACCTTTGGTGACAATCAACGCACATTTTGTAGAATTTCGTTCTAATAAGGCGTTTGTCGCGACTGTAGTTCCCATCTTGATCGATTCGATGTTGCTGGTGTCAATCTTGCCGCCGCGTGGTATGGATGCGTTCAAGGCCTGCTCGAGTATCCTGCGGATGCCCTCTGTGGGTGCATCGGCATAGTTCGTCGGATCGTTACTCAAAAGTTTGACGAGGATATCTGGTTTCCCTGGTATGATACCTAAGCAGTCTGTGAAGGTGCCACCGCGATCTATAGCGATGCGGATGCCTGCACCCTGCAGGGGCTGCTCAACGAACGGCATACTCGGTGGGCGGTTCAGAGAGGAATGAATCGAGGAAAAGGTGAACTGCAGTCTCCGACAGCCAAGAGCTCCTATATGTCCTATAGCTACTGGGAATTGAAGTAAACCACCCTCGTGTCAGCGGATAGATCAAGGTATGAACACGCCAAACAGGCAACGCCTGGTCAGCTGTCTCGTGACGCGCCATTGGCTGTAACAACACCGATGCCGCAGGTCATATCGTTCCGAAGGCATGGCAGTGCGGGTTTGTAATGCCTATCGCATCGCGTTGAGGGTGGAGTTGCTGCGCATTCCGGCAGGATGAGGATGACGCGCGATTGCCGATCCCTTCCCAGGAAACACGCTAATACTTCACTAGCGCGGCGCGAATGAACCCCTCAGTGAATCCTTCGAAGTTCCGATGTTCCTCTCCATCGGGGCCCAGAGTCCGAAAGAATGGCAGGGGTCGATATCACGCTCTCCACCAAATGCTGAGTGGCTATGCGATTATGAGCATGGGTTTGCAGCGCGCATGCCGAGGTCGCAAAATGATTCGACTGCTGTTCATAGCAGCGTTGCCGTGATCTGCCTGTAAGAACACCATCATTGTCGCATCTGGGTCCTACCAATATGACCGAAAGCATCAATCTGCAATTGGGGTGGCCGTCGCCGTCACTCTTTCCATCGGCTCAACTTCTCGACGGCGTGACCAGCGTACTTAACTCGCAAGCAAAAACCGCAGCCTCACTAATCTACGGCCCGGATGCTGGCTACGAACCACTTCGACGCAGTATCGCAGCATGGCTCACTTCCACGTACGGATGCGGTTCGGAACTTTCGTTCGACCGCATCTGTGTCACGAATGGGGCATCGGGGAACTTGGACAACGTTCTGGCACGCTTCACTGAGCCAGGCTACACGCGAAACATTTGGATGGTTGAACCATGCTACTTTCTGGCATGTCCTATCTTCATGGACAACGGGTTCCAGGGGATGATGAAGGGTGTGCCGGAAGACGATGAAGGGCTGGATGTGGAGTTCTTACGACGAAGTCTTGATGAGGCAGATCAATCGGCAACACACGCTGCATCGATGCGAAAGACGGGTGAAAGATATAAGAAGCTTTATCGACACATCATCTATTGCGTTCCGACGTTCTCGAACCCAAGCGCGAAGACCATGTCGCTTCGGCGAAGACAACAACTCATTCGCCTCGCACGAGAATTTGATGCCCTCGTGGTTACCGACGATGTGTACGACATACTACGCTGGCCAGTGGATAAAGATGGAAGCTATGAGAGCCTCGGTGACGTACCTCCCCGAATTGTCGACGTCGATCGCACGCTTGAAGGAGGCCCCAAAGATGAATGGGGTAATGCTATGAGCAATGGTTCGTTCTCAAAGATCATAGCACCGGGTGTACGAGTAGGCTGGGCAGAAGCGACTCCTGCGTTCACGCTTGCACTGTCACAAGTGGGTGCGACTAGATCTGGAGGCTGTCCCGCACACATGGCTGCTTCATTCGTTCATGAGGTGCTTGAGTCTGGGTTGTTGCGCAAGCATCTTGAAACCAAAGTTCTTCCGACGTTTCGGGCTCGCTATTATGCTATGCTGGAAGGGATAGAGAACTTTCTGGTACCACTGGGTGTCACTATCTCCACTGGGAAGCCGTACAATGAGAATTCTGACCAAGCGAGCGGCGCCGACACTAGTCCTGACGAGTTTTCTGCGCAAGCTGGAGGCTACTTCATTTGGCTACTGTTGCCAGAAGGTCTAGCTGGAAAGGGTGCCGATTTGGCTGCCAAAGGCTTGGAGAAATACAGTGTAAAGTTTGCATATGGCGACATGATGCAAGTGCAAGGGGACCCTACATCCGCCGTTCGTGCGGCAAAGGGCTATGGGAATGGCATACGTTTATCATGGGCATGGCACACGGAGGTAGAGATTCTTGAAGGTATTAAGAGATTAAGTGCATTAATCAAGGAAGGTAGTACATAGGTCTAAACCTAGAACATGTAGTTGATACATATTGGATCGGCTGTAGAAATGCGGGCTCATTCTCTTGACGGCGGCGTGAGTAAACCCCCAACGACAGCATGTAACTGACCATGCTTTCTAGCACTGTCGCCCAAGAAGAACTTCAAGACAACTCCAGCTGCTGCCACAGAATCGTCATCCGCATCGATAGCGTCGAGCGTCTCTTCCAAGACCTTAGGCTGCCAATTCGGGAAGAAATATTTGATTGTCTCACTGTTGATGAAACGATCGAACTCGAAGTGACCCTGGAATGTGAGGACACGACCAGGTTCGTACATGCCCTGATTAGCGCAATGCTGAGTACTTCCCAGCGTTGTCCAGGAGCCCGGCAGCGCTTCTAAATCTGGAACAACCACGTGGTCGTGATGCACGAATTGTAGCTTCATCTTTTTGCCATATTTATCTTCCCCGCCTCCACCATCCCCCAAGAATTCGGTGTAGAATTGCCGTTGCAGTGTGATCTCTTTTACCCCGAGTTCCCAGCCTTCCGGGTGCTTCTCCACCTTCACACCATAATCCCCTAGTAGAGCTTGACACACCAATTGGTGGCCGAAGCAGCTGCCGAAGATCTTCACCCTGGGCTCTTTCTCATATAATTCTTTCGTCCATCTTGCGAGTTTGCGTATCCAGGGCAGCTCATCGTAGGCCGAGTTCGCAGAGCCCGAGATGATGACAGCGTCGAACTCTGCTATCGAGCTGGGATATTCGTTCTTCGTGACGTCGAAGTCCGTAGATGTGATCTTAATGACAGGGTCCAAGGACGCGCATGGTGACTTTGTGTTGGCAGCTGCGGACGAAAGAAGTTGGTGGAAGATACGCCCATAGGTGGGGGCGCGCTCGGCGGCAACAACAGGCACCGGTGCATCGGCATTAAGCATGCAAATGCGTAGATTTCGTGCCATGGTTGCACGAATCGAGTGAGAGAGCTTTTGGTTTGATGTATCCTTACTGAATAACGTTTTCTCAAGCAATGTATCTGTCTTCTATGGATGTCGCTTTCGGGATGCCCGCATTCGGCGATGCACGTGATGCCCGCCGATAAGCGGTTGACGTTTGTCGCGACTATCTCGCGATTTGCCACGTCTCCAACCACGCAAGGCCACTGATCTCGCACACTTCGACATTCGATCAACCACCGCGACGACGTCCTCACAATGGTTGTGAGTATCCTTTACGCGATGCGCGATGATCACAACACTCTGCGCGCGAAAGGTGACGGACAATTGGCGCCGCCGCAGGACGCCATATCCGTACGCGCAGCAACCCTCTAGTAAGCCCTATCGCCCGTTTTCCCATGGCGCATGTCGTCTATACAGACGGATCCTAGCAGTCGGGTATCAGGACCCATACTAGCACTTCCATGGCATGGTGTGAGGGCCTGACAGCCCACTATTGGTTGTGACCCACCGTGCCACCATCGGACATGAGAGTCCGAAGAATCCTCTCTTTGTCCCTGAACGCTAGGCATGCAAACCGGTTGATCGTTGCCGTCGCCAGAATGCGGAGAACGACAACGTTCGCGAGTCAAGGGCACAATCTTAGTCCTATCGAGCTGGACTCTGACGTTCCATATCCCGTCCAGCCGCTGTCCAGCTGGAGATAGCGACAGTCAGCGAGATATGAAGATAGGCATTACTGATATGAATCTTTGTCTTGGTCTTCTATAAAATACACATCTAATCTAGGTGTTCGAGACACCCATTGGAAGGTTCTTTTTTGCATCTTCATCCTTACCCCACTCATTGCTACCATGCCCGACGACAGCAAAGTCATGTCGTCCGCCGACGTCGAGGATACCCATTCTGTCAAGATGGGAGAAGTTGCATCGGCCAACGTTGATGTGGCGGCTGCCTATGCTCATCATCTCACGGGGGAGAATGCGTATACAAGAAAAGAAGCGACACGCTTGCGATGGAAGCTAGACCTGCGTCTCGTGCCACTTCTCTGGTGTGAGTGATTGTAAAGCGAGATAGCGCGAAGCGCAAGCTAATAGTCATATCAGTCAACATCACGCTGGGCGCTATGGACAAAGTGACGACAGCTACAGCGGCCTTGTACGGCTTCCGAGCTGATACTGGCTTGACTGGAGACAGATACAGCTGGGTCGGCAGTGCATTCTATGTGAGTAATCCTGACTATCATTGCTTCTAGGGTGCTGACAATGCGTGTAGTTCGGTTATCTGTTCTGGTGCCTACCGAGTGGCAGCCTCCTCCAACGCTTCCCGATCGCCAAATTGATGTTTGTCGTCCAACTGCTCTGGGGCTGCATTCTCATCGCGACGGGTTTCGCCAACAACTTCCCCACGCTTATCGCACTTCGTGTCCTTCTTGGAGCCCTTGAAGCGCCGATTGTACCCGGCAACTTCCTCATCATCAGCATGTGGTACCCGCGACGTGAGCAACCTCTTCGAACCGGTTTGATGTATACGGGTCTTTCTGTGTGCTTCACTGGCCCAATCGGATACGGTATTGGATTCCTAGCAGGCGAACATCAATGGCGCGCTATGTTCTGGATCACAGGCGCAATGACCATTGTTTGGGCTTGTGTAATCGGCATTTTCTTGCCTGACAATCCTGTCAAGGCAAAGTTCGTCAGCGAGCGACAAAAGGCCATCGTAATTGACAAGATCCGGCAAGATCAGACGGGAGTGGAGAACAAGACGTTCAAGAAAGACCAGATGATTGAAGCATTCCTCGATCCCAAGACGTGGCTAATGTTCTTCTTTCATATACGGATCAGTAGTGAGTAAACCTGATGTGCCATACCTCCAAGTTTAGGCTGACGTTCTCTAGTTCCGAACGGAGGTTTGACGAACTTCACGCCTCTCATCATCAAAGGCCTCGGCTACACGTCTCAGCGTTCGACCCTCCTCACAATGCCTACGGGTATCTTGCAGACTGTTGCGTCCTACGTTTGCAATGGCGGAGTATTTCTGACTGCGAAGTATTTCCCAGCAAAACAGCTGCGAACCGCATGGGTCGTGTTTGGTATCATCGTCGGCATGATCTCAGCAGTCTTCTTATACGTTCTGCCGCTCGACAATTACAATGGGCGTCTCGCAGCGTTGTACTGCTCATACTTCTACCTCGGACCCTACATCGTCGCACTCGGTATCAATACGGCAAACACCGCAGGCCACACGAAGAAAGTTACTGTCAATGCGCTGGTCTTTATTGCGTACTGTGTCAGTAACATCATCGCGCCACAGTTCTTCAAGGCTGATCAAGCCCCACTATACCCACTTGGTATGGGCGCTGTGCTGGCAAGCTACGTTCTTTCGATGATCACCATCGCTATGTATGCGACGTATTGCTGGTATGAGAATCGCAGGCGAGATCGCGTTGACTCTGATAAGGGTGGAAGGGTGCATGCAGACACTGACTTCCGCGATTTGACTGACAAGCAAAACGTTCACTTTCGATACGTATGGTAGACATGACAGAAGCTAGCAACAGCTTGATACGAAGTTTGTAGTTACCACAGGTTCTATCTGAATGAATAGATTCGTTACGGACACACTGCCATACCTGTGACTTGCTTCTTCCATGATTCGGCACGTGCCCTTCAACAGGTGATGCCCGTGACCAAATAGTGTGCAATACACAATCAAATAGAGACTCCATCCATGTCAAGCTGACACACCACACTCGGAAGTCGCAAAGTGATCAGGCGTGCGCATCCTCAATGCAAAAGTGGGCCCCGCCCTCATGTTCGCTTATCTACCGATAACGGACTTTGTCGGACTCTCAAGTGCGAGAGTGCAAGGTGCACTATGGCTCCACGCCGCTTTGCAGTGGAGAAAGCAGATACCCTGCATGTGCCGAGGAACAAGGGTTGCTACGCGTCTCACGCGTCGAGCTGGACTGATACAATGAAGCAATTCTTCTAGATATATGATGAGAGGCGCCTCGTTGACCGAGACACATCATTCGACAGATTGCCAAGCTATACAACAGTGTACATCACAATCTCTCACATTCCACACGATGCCTAAACTCGACATATCCGTTCAAGACGAGCAGAAGGCTTTCGAAGCTGATGTAGCTGCCATCGAAAAGCAATGGAGCTCTGCAAGGCAGTCGCATTTGAAGAGGTATGTAGCCCCGTCAGATCCTAAGCGGTAGACCTACTCTGTGACCGAATTCAGCTGACCTTGTTGCCAGACCATATACTGCAAGCACTATAGCCGCGCTTCGTGCTTCCATTCCCGCTCCAGCGGAAGCTTCCTCGATCCAGGCTATCAAGCTCTGGGATCAGCTAAACGCCCACAACAAAGCCGGCACATGCGAGTTGACATTTGGCACCACTGACCCGGTAGCAGTTTCGCAGATGGCCAAGCATCAACAGACTGTCTACGTATCCGGTGCTCTATGTGGATTCTCGGAAGTCGCACTCCCCGGAATGGACCACGCGGACTACCCTTGGGATACCGTGCCAAAAGTTGTTTCCAAGATCTTCAAGAGCCAGCTTTGGCACGACCAGCGTCAACGACAGTACCGGTTACGACATCCAATCGAGCAGCGTGCAAAGCTGGAGAACTGGGACTACATGGCGCCAATCGTCGCGGATGGCGACATGGGCTTCGGTAGCCTAACGAGTACGATGAAGATGGCGCGCGAGTTCGTGGACGCTGGCGTAGCGATGATCCACATTGACGACCTTGCGATCGGGATGAAGAAGTTTACCGTTGGTCAGGGGCGTACGATTGTGCCGACACACGAGTATCTGGATCGTTTGACAGCTGTGCGGATGCAATTTGATGTCATGGGTGCGGAGACGTTACTGTTGTGCCGCTGCGACACAGACCATGCCGAGTTCATCACCAGTGTTGTCGACGAGCGCGACCACGAGTATGTGCAGGGAGCGACAAAGAAGGTAGAGCCGTTACAGAAGTGTCTTGCGGCTGCGCAGATGAAGGGCCAAGATTTGAAAGCTGCGCGGGACGAGTGGAAGGCGAAAGCGGGCATCAAGACTTTTGATGAGGCTGTCGAGGCCGTTGCGTCGAAAGAAGAGTTTGCCGCTTACATGGCGGCGCTTTCGAAAAGCAAGGTTGCTTCCCTGTCAGACCGTCGCGATATCGCGAGCAAGACCGTCCAACAAGAGGTTTCCTTCGACTGGGAGCTATCGCGATCGGCGATGGGACAGTACATGATCAAGAGCTGTGTCAAGGGTATCGTCGAGCGTGCCATCGCCGCTGCGCCACTCGGAGACGTGACCTGGGCGCGTATGGACTCTCCGAACTGGGACGACATCGTCGAGTTCCACACCGAAGTTCGCAAAGCGTATCCAGATCGGCTCTTTGCCTTTGGCTACACCGGTGACTACGACTTTGCGAAAGCCGGGTTCAGTGATGACCAGGTCAAGAATCTTCATCTCGATCTTGCCAAGCTAGGCATCGTGTGGCAGGTGCAGCCGATCTGGAGTCTGCAAGGTCTGAACATGGTGACGGAGCAATTTGCGAAGATGTGGCAGGACCAAGGTATCGCTGGCTACTTGAAGTCGGTGCAAGGCCCAGCTCTTAGCTCAAAACCTATGACTGATGGGTTTGAGAAGTTGAGTTATTGCGGTGGATATTTGGCGGATGCTTTCTTCGAGACGGTCGCGGGGGAGTCTATCGTAGACAAGGGCAAGGCAGCGTAGTTGAAAAGACGTCGATAGCCCACATTATGAGTACACTAGCTCCAATAGTATCTCACTTTTCAATGACGTGTCATGTCCAGCCTTCGAAGTCAAACACCCCAGGAAACGAGAGTAGGCCATCAACAGCCAAATCCTCAAGCCCAGAATCTGCAATACCGTACTCGAATGGCTGCTGCATGGCAAATGGCATCTGGAAGTTTCCGTTAATCTGCTGTAGCTGACTGTTGAAGTCTTCTTCAGGTTCCTGGTGATTCGGAGCGAGCATGCCACGAATCGTTGGTAGCTGGGAAGGTTGCGCAGAGCGAGGGAAGTCTTCATTTATCATCTCATCGATCATGCGCAACACCGGACGATGCACTACTAGTGCGCGAACCTGCGGAAGGTGCTCTCGGATTGCCGTGACGGTTTTCTCTGACAACCGAGTGGGTGGTTTGTTGGGTCGGTCGACCAGCGGAATTTCGCGCGCCAGTAGCTCAAAGACGTCTCGCAGGCATTCTGCCTTCGCCCACCTGTCTGCCATTATCGCTAGGATGTTGGAGCAGGCGCGGAGCGCGTCAGAGACATCGAGAGAGTAGTAATTGTCGGTTCTATGTTCCGGTGGGGTAGCCCAGAAGCAGTACAAGAGTGTAATACCAGACTGGAATTGCACGAGGAGCTGCTAGCATTAGCGCATGCGTCATCGAGTGCGTGGGATTGCTTACTGCAAGCCATGGCTGAGCGATTTGACGATCGATCTGAGTCCTACGAAACATTAAGCAAGCCTGGCTGCTGGCTTGAACCGACCAATCGCCGGCAGATCCGATCACGTTGGCTTTTGTCGGTCGATAAAGCATGAGCAACGTATAGTGATAGATCATCGCTTGCCACCGTTGTGATGTATAACCTTTTGACTGTGGATCTGAAAAGTTTTGTACCCTAGATTTGAAGTTCTCCAGTTCCGCAAGTATTCTTATCCGCCAGTCTGAACTATTCTCAAATTGAGCTTGGTAATCCCATCGAAGCGTAACGGCGCTTATTTCGGATTGTATGCGCCTGCACTGCAGTATATGAAGCGCCGAGGAGTTACATGTGTAATTCTCAGAGTCAGTCAAATCATGATTAGGCGGTGTGATGGCAGCGGCTCCTAACAGATCATGATCCTCGATGTTAGCGAAAGGCCTTACGGTAATCATATAGTCTGGCACAGACGGAGGAAGATCGAAGGATGACATGACCAGCCGATCAAGAAGGTACGCGCACCAAAAGCATCGCCGTCGAACTTGAACTACCAGTCGTGCGTGAACGTCGGTAGATGGTGGTTCCGTCTCGCCAAGGTGTAATTGTTGCAGGACACATTGTCGTATCGCTGTGGACGCGAGAGAAATGATGCGCTCAGTAGAGCTCTGGTGTAGTGCATGCACGGACAGCAGTAGATATGCCTGCACCTGGAGGATTCTATCTGGTTGACGTAGCACAGCCGGCAGGAGTGCGATACCACTATCGTAAAACTCTCGAGCATTAAGCATTGCCGTATAAGGTTGACGCAACAGTACTAAAGCTGTCGCGTACACAAGATTGATGAAGAACCCTTGCCATGCTCGTTCTTCAAGGTCACGGGACAAACAGTGCTTCCACTCCGAATGCCATGTGAGGAAGGTGTCCCAGTGGAAAAAGGGATACTGGGCTTGAGCGCGTTCGCGATATGCGTTAAGCAATGATTCTTCGAGTTCCGGAGAGATGCTGGTCAACAGTGTGTGCGCGCTATGCACTTCGACCTGTGCCGGTCGTGCGGTTGTTGGGGTACGAGAAGCATCGTGAGCTGGAAACTGCGCTGAAGGTGATGCGATAAGCCCAAAGATGAGATGATTCAAGTCGGGTTCATCATCTGTGCCCGAAGCTATTGCATAACCCGAAGATGAGCCGGAAAGCATAGATGACCGCCGCGGCGGCAGGGTTTGTCGATTCGAATGAGCAACTGCTCCCCCTGTGATCCCATCACCCGGCAAGTCGCTGCTTGCTGGGGACGTGTCATTTATGTCGTGATCAGGCCTGTTCTGGGTTCTTGCTAGATGATCAAGGCTCTGCTGCGGGTCTCGAGCCTCAAGCTCAGCAACACGCTCTTCCAGAATGCGCACATATTCGCTCTCAACATGCGGCCGAGGCGCTGGCTGCGTAGGAAGGCATTCCTCGTCCCCTTTGACACAATTCTGGCACGGGCGGCTGTCTTCGCACTTCTGTTTCCGATAGCGACATCGCTGGCAAGCTAGTGTTCGTTGCTTTTTGGCAGGCGGCTCCTGCGGAGAACTTTCTGTATCATTGTCCATCGGGTGTATTTCTCAGGCTTCGGTCCATTCTTGGATTCCGCTAGCAGTGGCGGTGATGTTTGTTGCGACGGCATACCTTCACTCGGTCCAGGGCGAAGGCGTGGATGACGGTGCCGATTGCCGGGGGCAGGCGATAAGGGGGGACGCGCCTTACCAAAACAGGCGAAGCGTCAACGTGACCAGCCTTCTCCATCTACAAGTCTGTGCCCGCCCACATTTCTCCTGAATTAGAGCCGCTCCCGTGTCAGCTCAGCACTCAATCATGACCACCGTTGACCTGTTTCAACCCGAAGTTTACCCGTCTTCTCCTTCTACGAGGCCCACTCGCCCTCTCATTCTTGGAAGCCCTGAATCGACGCGACAAAGCTTCATTCTGATACGGCCGTAGACCATACGGATTGGGAGCGCGTTCGTACTCAGTCCCACAACACCCGCACGGTCCCTGCCAAAGAAAAGTGTCGATTTCGCAACACTTTCCTGAAGATGCTGCATCGAACAGACTACGCGTGCCAACCATCTTACTTTCGGGTGCTTGCAGCTCCTGACACCGTTGGAAGCGTGCGCCACGATCCTCTAGTACAATGTCGTCCATTCTGTCTGGAGGCCGCGTAACTCCAGTGAAATCTCAGCCTCCTTCTTGTCCGCTAAACAAGTTCTAAAGGCCCGAGTCGGAATCGGAAGTGGAAGCAATGATCGTAATCAATCTGTAGCGATAGCATCTGTAGCGCGTGGGTCTGTGATTAGTAGTCGCCGATATAAGATGTGCAATACCTCGATGGCTGATGAAACAACTGCGCCTCTATTACAGCTAATCGACCGGAATCAGCCACCATGCGCTTCGAATACTCTAGCTTGGCACTTTTTGCCGGGATTTCTTGGGCAGCCTCTTTGCCAAACACTACAAACTTCGAGCAGGAGACGCGCAGCCTCGATGAAATCTACCAGGCAGCTTTGGCAGAAGGTGGCGTTGTCACTCTTTGGCATGGCGGCGATGAGAAGACTCAGCAGAACAGTCTGAAGAGTGCTTTTGAGGCACGGTTCCCTAACATGACACTCAATGTCACCGTCGACCTGTCGAAGTACCATGATGTCAACCTTGACGCACAGCTGGCTGCCGACAATGTTTACGTCGACAGCATCATCCTGCAGACGCTTCACGACTACCCACGATGGAAGAAGCAAGGCGCTTTGATGAACTACGCACCATTAAACTTCGACAAGATCTATCCTGTGTTCAAGGATGCCGAAGCGGCGTACAGTGGACTTCTTATCTTTGATTGGGGGTATGCTATTCCTGGTAATGCCTCGACTTACATACGCTAATCAGCAACAGTATCTCCGCCAACATGAACAAGACAAGCGCCATGCCGACATCGTACCAAGACTTCACGAAGCCCGAATACAAGGACAAGATTGTTCTGACCTACCCCAACGACGATGATGCCGTCTTGTACCAGTTCGAACTGATGTACGTTCTGGCCTCCGACCATCATAAACGGATTGGCTAACAATTTGCGTAGTATCGAAGAGCTCGGTGAGGAATGGTTCGACGCCCTACTCGCCAACAACCCCCGCTGGGTGCGCGGTACTGCCACTCCTGGTACACTCATCAAGGCTGCCAACAGCAGCAGTGCGGTAACCTTTAGCTCGGGTTACTCATTCGCAGACCGACCACCAGTCAAGTACGCGCTCCCCAGCGACGCCAAATTCGTCTCTTGGGCTCAGACTGGCGCAATCCTGAAGAAAGCACCCCACCCTGAAGGCGCAAAGCTACTTCACAGCTTCATGCTCAGCGACGAAAACCAATCTAGCCGTGGCTGGAGCGTCCGTCAGGATATCCCAGCACCAGAAGGCGCCGAGACGATCCTGCAGCAGCCCGGTACGGATGCGCCTGCGTTTGCTGAGTTCATGGCAGACCGTGGTCATGTTGAGAGGCGAAGGGACTTCTATGAGGTGAGGATTGGTACTGCGCAGGGCCTTAGCCCGCTAATTGATGACTTGTGAGCATGCTGCCAGATCTACGGTGCGCATGGAGGTAAACAGTCTACAAGAAACAACATGTAGATGTTATCTTCTGAGGCTGATCCAGTTGATCCGAGAATCTATTGGCTGCCCTGGCCGATTTGGCCGTCTCTACCTATGCTTTCTATTGAATATCTCTTGCCCGTCCTCTTCCTGTTTTTCAACCTTCCACGTTTCATTGGGTCCGTCATTGGCGGTAGCCTGCCGCGTTCACATCGCGATACCCCCCTCTAACCCGATTTGTTCAAGTGCCCATACAGCGACCTTGTTTGCTCGCGCCAACCTCACTGCTCTAATATTGTTGCAAACTCGCACTGCAATCCCTTTCGGCCGCAAGGTCTTCGATATGTCTGAATCAAAGCGATCGGCTGCTAAGTAAGTCGCACAAGCCAAGCATGCTCGCTTCTCCAGCCCTAGATGGGTACTGACGTGACCCCAGGCTCTTCAACAACCCCGCGCTATCCGATGTCACGATCAAGCAAATCCACGAAGGCCACATACGCGAATACTATGCGCACAAGGCCGTGCTATGTCTAGAGTCCGACTACTTTCTCAATGCTTTCACTGGCAACTTCAAGGTAAATTGGCAGATGTGTAGAGCTGTGTGGAAGGAGAATACTAACTATCTCCAGGAAGCATCAGAAGGCATCATGGAATTGCATGAGGACGATCCCGATCACTTTGAGTTCTTTCTCAAGTTCATCTACACCAACGAGTACGACAAACACGAGATCGCGAAGCTCGCAGGCGATGACAAGAGCAAGCGTGTGCTTGTTCCAATCGGCGTGCACGCTATCGCTGACAAGTACGACGTTGTCAAGCTCTACGAGCCAGCTGCAGAAGATGTGAAGGCTGTACTTATAGAAGCTGTCAAAGACCTAGACATGCTCATCACTGCAATCCACGCTCACTACGGTACCGAGGTCAACGTCGATGGGGCTATGGGACGTCTCATAACTTCCGTTGTCTTCGAAAAGTACCGTTATCTTGTCAAGACGAAGGACTTTGAGCAGTTGCTGCTTGCGCATCCCACCTTCGCCGCAGACGTTGCGCTGAACTTACAGCGTAACGCACTATATGCATTAACAGCTGGTTGGTGTATTGGCTGCCAGGCCAACCAGAACATTGACGCAGCTGGTATGCGCAAGGCAGGTTGCACATACTTCTATTGCCCGAATTGCAGCAGGCAATGCCCTCTTCCATCTGTCGGTGAAAACTAGAGACATGAATTACGATTGGCCAGAACGGGTGGGGTACTGGACCTGAGAAACAGAAGGTCCATAGCATGGAAGCGATGGTAGTTCATAAGGGTGTCTCTTTACGTAAAGATAATGGCACATGCAGCGATTCCAGTTATTTGAAAAGTTGCTATTAGATCGAATGCATGACCATTCCGTACCTGCGCAATATGTGTCTTTTCCCACACATACAGGAACGCCACAAGCTGGGCGAAGCGGGTTACCTAGGTAATGTCCATCAACCCTGGGATGATCATTACATTGTCTAGCACTTAGTCCTCAACCGTTGCCGCCGTAAGGACCACTTGTGCTTCTGATATGGCAAAGCAAAGTAAGTGATTAGACACAGTTCGAATGTGCCGTGCGGTGACACAGAGAGCTCGTTTCCCTTCGATGTTCCTCCGAAAGGCATGTGTCAAAATTATGCGATGACATCTGTAGCTGCAAGGTTGCCAAATATCGACACTTCACCCATTCGACCTGTCTTTGGGCCTCGATGAGATAAGCATTTCTTTGTGATGGACGCCCGAGAATAAGTGCTCTTACGGCGAGCACCACGCAATATCGATAAACCGCGCGCTATTTGTGTAGTAAATACATTGACAAACGCGACCCTTTTACGACATACAAGGAAAGGGAAAGCAGCATGCGACGGACGATGAAACAACTATTTACACATCCATGCTAATGATTGATCTCATAATGCTTGAGTAGAATCTCGTCACCCTCCAAGCTGTCCTGTACCACGTATTCAATATTCTTTTGCAAACAGGCATCCCAAAGGTCCGGGATATACACGATATCCGGCTGGGCTGCATGTAGAATACATACTGCTCGAAGGTCGAGTAGTCTTCCAATCCCCATTGCCAACTGTCTGTTGGCCTCGTCTGTGAGTTCTAGGTGCCAACTGCCATCGCGAGGGCGCGAAAGATGCTCATTGCCGAGACCCAACAGGGTGATCGAAGTGGGCAAGCTCTCGACTATCCGAAGTTGGAAATGCTGAGTTGGATCCCATTCAACTTCTTCCGGGGTGTAAGTTATCGTGATAGGCGATTCTGTAAGGATGATAGCGGGAACTAATAGAGTTTGTAGCTTCGTGAACTTGTTGAGGGTACCGACTGCGAGAGTGGTACAGCTTTGGGGTGGCCCGCCACCAGCTTGTCTCATCGATAGTGATAGATATCGCATTGTGTTCTTGCTTTGGAGAAGCGCTTCGCATATACCACCGAAATCCAAAACCCGGTCTGTATCGTCATGTTCCTCATAGGCAGTTAGATGGAACAAACTGAAGCGAAACTCCACTAGTCGGCAGCACGGTCGTATGGTCATGATAATCTGTTCCATCGATAGACTGCAGTCGACAAGATGAAGAGTGCTGAGATTTCGGAGCCCATCTCCTTCGAAAGGAAGTCGTAAAGCCTCGCGGCCGAGAAGGGCGCGATGTATGTCGTAAGGATGGTGGTGACGGTAATGTTCCAAAGCTGGAAGATACCGAAAAGTCGCGATACGCTCATCGTATAACTCCGGCTCCGGAAACAAACAGCGTATTCCATCATGTTCATCATTGAGAATAAAATGGTCTGTGATGATGTTGATCGTAGCAAGTTTCGCGAGATGACCGGGTTTGCTTGATCCAAGTTCAAGACCAAGAATCCGGCTCAGAGACCCGTTATAGGTATTGAGAGTCAGTTCTGATACGTTCGGACTCAACCGAAGCAAGAGCGTCATCTGTGCTTTCTCTGGGGTCCCCTGGAACTCGCGATCCCAAAGACCTGCTGCAATAGGATCGAACAGACCCTGAACTATGGTTGGTAGACCTTCATCAATCGCTTCCTCCATTGCTAGCACCATATCTTCGTGTTGTTCCTCCATTCCATCTTCTTTGAGTCTTCGAGCTAGTGATTGATTACAACGTATAACTTGGATGCATTCGGCCAACTCTCGACGCATGCTGATTGTTCGGAGAAGTCTTGTCAATTGGCGAACGAGCGCCGCTTCGTCCATTTGTAACTCGTATGGCACTCGTGTGTATGGCGGTACGCCCATTTGCTCTAGCCTGATCTTTCTTTCTTCCCTCCAGCCCACGATATGTATATTCCTGTAGAGTAGAGGTGTCGCACTCTTTCGAAGTCGTTTTGTTGTCCGGCAAAGACTATGTAAGCCCTTTCTCTTCGCACGGTCGTCGTCGTTGTCGATGAGCCATCCCGCGTCGCAACGTTTCGGCAAGTTGAACAGCTGAATACTCGGTTGAAGATACCCAAAGATCTTGTCAAGTATTTCGGTAGGTAATGTTGCAAGATCGAGGGCGGTTTGATGTGGGTCATCCCAAGACATGACTACATCATCGTCCATCGGCGCGGGGTGGGAGCGGAGAGATCAGAGGTGTAGATAAGGGTAACAGGTAGGGTGTAACAGCAAAGGAGATACCAGTGCTGAATAGTTTGGTACAAACAAAAGATGAGAAACGACGATACATGTACATATATCCATGTTGGGAGATTGCAGACACGTCGCGACCTCGGGAGGCTGGGATGCGCGTTTGGAGTAATCCGCTAGGGAACCTTTTCATCGGCGGTTCCCCGGAAAATCAGGGTGCGGAACCAGTTACAGCGCAAAGCGTTCACCCAAAATCTCACTAGACAGGAATTTTGACAGGAATTTTGTCAATAGTTCATGTACGTTGCCCTAGGTAGCCATAATCATCGAACCAATAAGGTCTTGATGGAAAGTCGAGATACTCCGAGATAAACCCCTAAACGGGTGTTACCATAGTCAAAGCTGTGAAATTCGATGCAGTGAAGTTGTCGCGCCAACAGTTTTGCATCGACATCGACTGCCGGTCTGGGCACCGTTCGTTCCTGTCTCGCGCCGCACCTTGTCAAACATCCACTAGCCCACCTGGGTAGTTAGAGCTGTCCGGCCTGGATCTCGCGGAAAGAGCGTTTGAATTCGTGTACCATCACGCTGGTCAACATCCATCGACGTTGAACGAACGTGATTAGCACGACGTTATGGCATGTACGTTGTTCGTGCATTAAGAGAATATATTGCGTATCATTGTTAAGAGACTGATAGAACGGAAACTCACAAAATAGTAATAACGCGAGGCGCATCATGCTAAATGAGAACTAGGTATCTTAGCACTCGCTAACACAATTGATGACTTCAGAATTCTTCCTCAAGTATCTCCATAAAGAAGATAGTTCGATGAAAAGACACTAGCCCCCAGTTCGATCCTATCGTAACGCAAGCTGGCTCAAGCCCGACCACCGGAGCCATAGACCTGCGCCCGAAGGAAAGACATTCAAGACCATGCAACCATCAACGCCGTGGACAAGCCATCAACACCGTGAGTTGCACTAATCTCGACGCCCTTCAAGCGTGTCAGTGAATCAAAACGAACCGCGGTGAGTACATCGTCTTCGGTTGTCGGACCTTGGATCAATGCATTGATCTCGATAGCGAGCTTGTTCCAGCGTCCAAAATGAATCACTGGAAGCAAGCTCAACGCACAACCGTTAGCGCAACAAACGAAGCCCCCAAGGAAGGCAGTACGATCCAAAGGGTACTTGTTCGAGGGAGGGTCACACTGCGTCACATAGAATGTGATCACAGTGCGCTCTCAAGCAGATCAATTGTGGAAAAGGCGGCGCGAGTCGTTGAAGAAAGAGAAAGGTGGCAGGGACTAGGCGAGATTGTATATTGATCGAGTGGCTTGGCACGCTAGCGTCACGTGATATTAAGCGCTACGGTCAGTGACGGACCGGGGACGGTGACGGTGAGTGAGCGCTTTGAAAATATCGAAACAGGCAATACGCCTTCTTGTTATAGTGAGTCATACCGATTTCTGCCGACCGTCCGCTCGTCTCTGTCTTACAGTCTTTCTACCTAGGTAGTGGCCCGACCCCAGCAGTGAACATCTCCAGGGCTACCCAGTCAGTTATATCAGCAACCGTCAGCCGACACCATGGCCAACAGCATCGGAGACGCAAGCGGTACCAACATCAACACCATTACCCTGATAGACATCCTTCCAGTAGCCCAGAAACAAGGGGTTGAGATTGCGAAGCTGCGCGACGATCTTCGAGCTGCTTACCGGGATGTCAACCGATTGAACGCGGAGAACCGCGAGCAGCGCTCCACTATCTTCACTGCCAATCGGAAGATCGAAGAGTACAACAAGGCAGAAGATTTCGCGAGGCGTCTCAAGGCGGTGGAAGAGTCAGACATATCCACACGCCTCACAGCTGCAGACGCCCACCAGCGCTGTGCAGATCTTCTTGGTCAGGCGATAGCTGCAGAACACAAGCTCGCGAAGGCTGAGGGCGAGTGCGCAGAGTTGAGGACTTCCGTCAAGAACCTGACGGATCAGAAGATGGGGATGCGCTGTGAGTACGAAGAGACGCTCGTCTCGTCCAAGGCGGAGTTTGAGGTCGCGATGCGCAACGAGTACGAAGAGAAGCTTGTATTATCCAAGGCGGAGTTCGAAATGACGATGCGCAACGAGTACGAAGCGAAGCTTGTCTCGCTCAAGGCGGAGTCCAAGTCGGAGATGGCGTAAGTCTACATCTGAAATTCAGCCTTCATCTACTGACTCACTCCAGATTGACCGCACCCATCCAGAGCATGGTCAAAAAGCGCCCCTTCGGAGAGCTCGACGGAGCTGAGTACGACTTCATCACCTTCAGTCTGACCTCCCTGCTAACGAGTGGCTAGAGAAACCCAGAACACGTTCACACTCCCGAAACGCCGCAAGGAAAAGATTGTCGCCTGCGTCGAATGTTTCCGCAACAAGACGATCCGACACTGCAACAACAGCCACACTTGCCCGGCTTGCGCGTCCCGAGGATCTCCCTGCATACGCATGAAATGCGGCAACTACGATGAGGTCAGTCCGGACCGTACTAAATGCATATGAGACCTATACTGACGAAGCACGTCTGGCTCTACAGGGAGTGTGTCTTAAGATGAACTGTGGCTTGGCTCACCCCGATGATGGATTTCCGGAAGCTTCTTTGGTACCTCAAACGCACATCACCCAGGTTGCCGGTCCCGCTTCTATACCCCCGCAATTGACAGGTTCCGAGTTACCGCGTCGCCTGGAGGAAAGATAGAGGTTTTAGAGGCTTTATACTGGTTTGCGATGGATAGAGGTGCCGGTCAGGAGAGGAGAGACTGTGATTGGAATGTTCATCACGCTTGTCATCCCTTTCACGGCCTTAGGCCGCTCTCTTGTCATTACAATTTGTCATAAAACTCGCTGTACGCTGTTGCGCCTAGCGTTTATACTCTTCCTTTGTGTTGCCATGACTCCATGTGTTCAGTATAGGCTGCAGCTGCGTAAGCGTTTGGGTGTCCTATGAGTACTTCGCTTGGAGGATCATATCCGGATCCACCATCCAAACCTAGGTGGAGTATAACTGCACGGGGCTGACGTGTAACGATCTTGAGATGTGACGTTGGCATCCGCCGACATTGTGTATATCTCGTCGTGTGACTTCGGCAGCTTTTTGGACAAACATAAGAACAGTAAGCCCTGGAGGGGAAGGCGTTGGCGTCGGATACATTACATAGCATAGCATCAATACAAGAGAATGCGATGCGCTCGGACGATATCTCCTTCGAGATTACCCTGAATCTTGGGCATTTGAGTATTGTTCTAAGAATTGCGCGTCAGTGCATGCACGCCAGTGATACACCTCTCGTGACAAAGCTACCCGCTTCCGTAGCATATTGGTTGGCTAGCATCTCAGCGCAGCGTTCTGACTCCTCGGTTCCACGGTTCTTCGGCGCATTCGTCCGCAGGTTACCGTAATACAAGAATATCTACTTAGATCGTACAACTCACTCCTCCTTCTTCTATCGTTCTCATCACATCCAACTTCAACCACTTCATCACAACGTAATCACACGATGAATCGTAACGAAACAGAAACCACCGGCTATCTAGCGCCAAAGGCAGTCGCAACCGAGAAGGGCAGCCTCGACCACGTTCTGGACATTTTGGCATTGCATCGACATCCTTTCCTACTCGTTGGATGCGCGGCACAACGATGGATGGGGTCTGCCGGAACCATGACAGATGTGTGCGAAATTCTCATCCGCCACAACACGCTGAAAGCCGTCGCATCGGATCTTTTAGCCACGTCAAGATGGACACTCAACGAAGATCCAGAAGATATTTTTGGCAATGACCCAGTATCGAATTGCGACGCCGATATCGTTCTCCGGCAAACCTCCATCGAAAACGAAGACGAGTTCCGCTACCTAGCTCTTTGGTCCGACACCGCATACCATATGGATATAGATAGCTGCATCACTATCGAAGTCCCCGACGTGTACTGTTGGCAGCCTATCCTCGTAGAAGAGGCTTGGCATCCAGCTCTGCACCGAGAGAATGGATGGTGGTATGGTCCTCGTGTGCATCCAGATACGAAGGTGCCAGATTCGCCTCTTGGGGCGCATCCCCCCGCCATCTTTTTCCCCGGCTTACCGCGCGGCAGAAGCGCAAGCCACCCAAGTCCCATTTTGGTCCCGAATCTTACTACCTATCTCGACTCACTGATCTACCATGCCATCCACTACAAGGCTACAAAACCGGGTCTCTGGGTTGTGTCGTTATGGGTCCTGAAGAATTTGACGAGATATCTGTATCTGGAGCTAGACCATCAGCAGCTACCGCTACTGATTGAGCTGGAAAAGTATGAGTTCATGGAAGCCTATCTCGGGAGATATGTGAGAAAGCCGAGGTTTGTTTGGAATACGAACGAGAAGGGAGAGTTTGAGGCAACCAGGGTGAGGGAGTGGGATCCTAAAAGCTTACCAGAGTGGTGTTGGACGAACCCGTGGACAAGTAGGCATTGATAGACAAAATCTGATAGCCTTTGAGGCTGCGCGCTTACAAAGATAGTTCATTTGTTATTACTCAATAGACACCATAACTTGTGCCGTGTGTTTGCCTATAGGGAAAATAGAAAGGTAAGCCGTCACCGCCAACGGTCCGAAGACGCGCCTCCGCATACTCAACACGAGAATATAACCGCATACTCAACACGAGAAGATGACCGCATGCCGATGAGAAGCCTTTGGCGAATGTCGAGGATGTAGGCAGGAAGGATAGTACGGTATGCGCTTGCACTCGGCCATCATGCTGACGACACGTGACCTTCGGCCGCTTCGGCGCTAGGAAATTTTCAGCGGATAGTGACGTCACTCCATCATCGACTTGTGCCTTTTCCCAGGACCATCCAGCATACAGCCCGTGATCGGTCGTCGTACATCGGACATCGTATTTCGTACAACTGGTTTTCGAGGCAACGCATTCCAAGGTTTGCAGCGTTTGTTATAGCGAGAATCGCAATATGCATGGCCAACCCTCAATGCCTGCCCCTACCCAGGAGGTAATGGAGATACTAATCACACAAAGCATATTTGATGGAGAGCTGTCAAGATGTGTCAAGGTGGTTACTAAACGCCTGAGGAAGGTTTGATTTGTGTGCGTGATTACTCACATGACCTGAGACGTAGCTTCACGACAATCGGGCCTACCATGATAAGGTGCTTATGGTAAAAGGAAGAGGCATCGTAATCCTATGCCGCTTATCGGCCCTCACCACAATCAGTTTCTCCCGAGATGCCTCCAAGCTTGATCTAGCATAGTCCTTCTGCGGTAGATCAGGAAGATGGTCACCATGTGCTGAATGCTCATATGGATCGTTCTGAGAGATGTAATTACGATTAACAAGATATGCTAAACGAGTCTCTATTCTGCAACAAGTCGCACCTTCGGGTATCATCCTCTCATCAACTCAATTAAAACTACATGATCGGATCTATAGCGGAGGAGCGTTAGGGTCCATCATGCACTGATCGACACGCATAAGCTGCTTGCCAGTAGCCTTGGCGATCTGAATGAACTCCCTAAGGTAGCTGACAGTGCTAGGGTAGAGGTAGTGGAGAACCACAAGGTTACCACCCTTGTCGACGTCACGCTGGAAAGCAACCTTCTGCTGCTCAGGGGTGTCGGTCTCAGCCCACAACCAGTCCTCGACGTCGACGCTCCAGTTGACAATCTTGGCGGTGTTGCCGACGGCCTTTGTGAGGCGCGAGCGCATGCGGGCACCCTCGGTACCGAAGGGAGGACGGAAGTAGGTGGAGGTCAATCCGTTGAATTGCGACTTCATGGCCTTGACGTCCTCGTTGTATTCCCAGTCGATGGATGCGTAGTCAGGGAGACCCTCCATCTTAGGGTGGGTGAAGGAGTGGAGGGCGAGCTGGTGACCAGCGGACATCATCTCCTTGTAGACGTTGGTCAGGTTGGTGGAAGCGTCGAGAAGGGGAGCGCCGACGGTGAAGAAGGTGACCTTGACGTCCTCCTCGCGGATGATCTTGAGGACTTCCTGGGCGAGGTCGGGTTGACCGTCGTCGATGGCGAAAGCGAAGGAGTTGGGGCGCTTGCATGCGAAGACTAGGTCACCAGTTTCGTCCTTCTTGGGAATGGTAGTACCGGCGGGGACAGAGGAGACAATCTCGATGACGGAGAGGGTGACGGACTCAGTGCTGTGGAAGCCCTTGAGCGCGAAGCCGACGACGCGAGAAAGGTTGATGTTGAAGTGGCTAATGGGGATGTAGATGTGTCCGTTCTTGGCGTAGCGGCCGGCCTCAGCGGAATCCCAAGTCTCAGGGAAGGGAGCGATCTCGGTGTTGCACTGGCTGTTGTGTTGCTGGAAAGCGACAGTGAAGGCAGTGGTACCGGTGTAAGCAATGTGGAGGTAAGATCCCTTGTACTTGGTGAAGTCGGCACAGCCACCAGACACCTGGGTGTAGTAGGAGTAGTCGGCATCAGGAGACTTGATGGTGAGCTTGCCGCCGGCGTACTGGAGAGACATGCCCTCGTCACCACCGTGCCAGTTGCCCATGGCGTTGGTGTTGGCGTTGGCGAACTTGTCAATCACGAGGCCGGTAGCTGATGGGTTGCTAGGAGCGGGAACGGTAGCAGAGGCGCCGGGGTCGGCAGAGGTAGGAGGCACAACGTATTCTCCAGAGTTGCCGCAGTAGAAGGCCATGGGACCGAAGGAAGTGGTACCAGAGAATCCGGAAAAGAGGATAGTGGTAAGCTTCTCGGTGTTGAGGCCGGCGAACTTGCTGAAGGGAATGGTGTACAGCTTCTCAGTTCCATCGAAAGTCCATCCAAGGTCAGTTGCGGACGCGTAGGTGGACTTGGGGTTGGTCGCGTCACAGTTGTCCGAAGAGTCGAGCTGAACGGACAGGGTTGCGCCCTTAGGAGCCTTGATGCGCAGAGAAATACCGGTGTATTTGTTCTTCTTCGCGTCGACGCAAGGGAACTGGGTGTAGAAGTACGAGTCGGCCTTGGGAACGAACTCGACGTGGTTAGTAGACGGCTTTCCAACGGTGATGGAAGTCATGGAAGCATCATCAGAGGTAGGGTATCCCATGGCGTTGTAGAACAAGAAAGTCAGACGCGATTGAGAAATCCAGTCATCGATCAACAAAGGAGAGCAGGTTCCAGCTGAGGCCGTGGGAGACGAGATAGTTGTCATGGTGCTGCGGACCGAGGAGCTCGAGGTGGTAGCTACCCTAGTTGCGGAGACGGAGGTGCTGCCACCAGCACTGCTGCCGCAACCAAAGGCGATGTTGCTCATCTGCCATGTGTCGGTGGTGGAAGAAAATCCAGCCCAAACGAAACCGGTAACAGC